CATTTTGGGGATGTTGTGTTCAGGTGGTGTTTATGCTGTGAGACGATAGCGCATTCTGTGTGTTTAGACCCCAGAGCAAATGTTATTCCGTTTAGGATGTATACACGTTTCTAAGCATATTTAGATCTAACCATGGCTTGTATGTGTTTACGGTCTAAACACAGATTTGTTGTGTACAAAGGATGGCTATGTTTCTGATACAACATATTATTCCAGGAAGAACCACCAGCTGAACACCAGTATGCCAGGAAAAGAACCAGGGAGCGACTGTTCATGACACCAAAACTGGACTGTGGCGCAAAAGTGTATGTCAGAGAGACGCTGTGCTTTCCATATGAAAAGGTGATCCTGCAATCCACATGCAGGATTGTAAAGAATAACAAAGTCGGTTCATGAATATTTCAGGTGCATATATTTTTACACTAGGTCTTGAAAAATGATTTGTATCCGAACCTAGAAACGATTGGATAGCATTCGATTCAGGTATCTTGTCCCACAAACGTATGGACAGTTATAGTAATATGTTATCAATTAGAGAATAATAAAATCATGAGCGACTTATGATATGACAGAATCGTCAAAATGTTATATATATTTGGAGAAAATTACAACAGGGGATTCGGATGAAACAAAATAAAAGCAGTTGGTTACGGCGGTGTTGTTTGTACTGTAAAGGTAACACTTTCCAGCTGATACAGTAAACAGCAAAATGCTTATTATAACATTGAATAAAAGCTAGAAAATCATCTCAATACATTTTAGAAAATTCTACTAACATCTGCTAAATCATGATATGAGGTGTTCGCGAAAAGGTGAGCGCAACGCCCTACCTGTGGCATCCGTCACAGACATAATTATGCAAAGGCAAGTCATTTGTTTACATCGAAAATCACGGGAACAAATGGCACAAGTCAAAATAGTGAATCGTATTAGAATACCACTTCTAACATATCATCATTTTTTTAATGTCTTTATTATATACAGGCCGAAAAAGGTGACAGAAGGAAAAGACGGAAATACGCAGCTGGTATAAATAAAGCATTGGGCGAGGGAAGGCTGACCGAATATCAGTTTGAACGACGCTTTATTGTTTCATTTCCGAGACCTGAAGACCATTTAGAACACCCCACTGCCAAGGTATAGTAAAATGTAATTTTATGTTATGTTATCCACACATAATTAGAAACTCAGGTATCACTGACAGGATACGAATGTAAGCTATCGAAAAGGTACTGTATCGTTGTTAGGCAATGCCTTTCTAATCTAAATATACTCTTACGCATATTTATGTTTTGTTTTGATAATAATGTTTGTCCTGAAGTTTGGCAGCACTGTTACAACCCTGAATGTTAAAATTACTCTTAACGTAAATACAATTACGTTAAGGGCTACGTGTTAACTCTTAGTGTTACATTAAGGGTTATTATCGTACAATACCTAATTGTGAAAGATTCTTATTAACAAAGTTTGATTTGAAATTTAGGGTACTTTATGCTATTTTCAAATTTCTCATTGTTTTGCTTGGTTTCTTGTAATTATTCGTAATAAGCGACAGCTTGAGAAACTGACTTTGCTCAGACCTGAGAACAAGAGGGGCTGTTATGAAAATGGCAGGTTTGTTATTTAGGACACGCCATCTACTACTCTGGAAGTCGAAGAGCATCAAGTGTCGGCTCCAGTCGCAGATCGCGACTCAAGTGGAACAGCATCAGCTGTGGATCAGAAGCGGGTGCTGCGGTCAAGGTCGAAGGTAAGCTCAGCCCCGGGGAAATAAAAGGGTGCATGCTTAGTCCCTTTTTGTTTCAGTTTTTTTTATAAACTGATTGGTTGAAGTTTAGAAATTGTCCGATTTCGTATATTGAAATTTCCCACGCAATTGGGATCCATGATATGCATCAACCAAGTCAGCGAGCCTGACCACCCGATCCCGTTAGTTGCCTTTTACGACAAGCATAATCGCCTTTTACGACAAGCAATGATATGCACTCTGACGTAAACACGTTTACATTTTAAACATGCTTAAGTAAGAAACATCTTTACATTTTGGGGATGTTGTGTTCAGGTGGTGTTTATGCTGTGAGACGATAGCGCATTCTGTGTGATTAGAACCCAGAGCAAATGTTATTCCGTTTAGGATGTATACACGTTTCTTAGCACATTTAGATCTAACCATGGCTTGTATGTGTTTACGGTCTAAACACAGATTTGTTGTGTACAAAGGATGGCTATGTTTCTGTTACAACAAAATATTCCAGGAAGAACCACCAGCTGAACACCAGTATGCCAGGAAAAGAACCAGGGAGCGACTGTTCACGACACCAAAACTGGACTGTGGCGCAAAAGTGTATGTCAGAGAGATGCTATGCTTTCCATATGAAAAGGTGATCCTGCAATTCACATGCTGAATTGTAAAGAATAACAAAGTCTTGACTGGTGGCAGCGATATTATAGAGAGCTCCGGGAACGTACTATCGCTGTGAGGAGCTTGTATCGCTGCCACCAGTCAAAACTCCCCACTGTGAATAGGTGGCCACAACCATGCTTGGAGTTGAACTCGCAACCGAATGACCGTTATGTTTACAAACAAGTGACGACTGTCGTGACGCCGAATACACTTATCGCTGCTAAATTACTTTCTTCGTTTGTCAATTGAATTTCTGTTTCATTAAAACTATCGTTTTATTGATATAGTAAGAATGTAAGGGAGAAGTTGGTTAATTTTCCGTTAGTCTGCAATCTCGAACCAATCTGATTATTAAAACAACAAAGTAAATTCATCTGGAAAACATGGTCAGTCGTAAACCTTTTCAAAATGAAATATGATGGCATTCACAAAGACATAAACAAAAGTATCAACGTTACTACAATTGGGGTTTGAGGGCAAGTTTCAAGATTCTTGTAATGGCCGCGCCCACACAAGTGGCAGCGATGTTACCGAGAGTGTAACGAAGGTGTCACGCGCTGGGAAGGAGCTTGATTGTTCAGTAAACAGCGTCCTGTCGAGAAGCGTGTTTCTCTTTACTGAAAGTAATCTGACCAGCAGTTAACAAACGTAACAATACATACGTCCTTGAATTCCTCATACAGTTTAGAATCAAATGACAAATGGTCTTAATTGTCACTTGAAAACGTGCCTAGATGAAACCATGCAATATAGAATAGGTGTGAAAACGAACGCTGTGGTCGGAAAACTGCACTTGTTTGAAATGTAAACACATTAAAGTAAAATTCATATTTTACACTGTAGCATTTTCTCCTGTTTTGAACTATCCATTCGTCAATTCGTTGCATACATTGGCTCAACATTTTCAGAATATGCATGGAGAGAGAGACGTAGCAAGAATTAGGGAATTAAAAGAAGGATACATTGCAATGATTTGGTAAAATCAACAGAAATTGTCAAAGTTTCCGTCCACCGTGACGCCAAGACTGACGCAAAATCAAGCGCAACGACAACGGTATTTATCGGAATCTCTGACTATTTCTCTTGGTTTCTGTGAAAAACATAACACCAAATAACAGTACACAGATTTTCAGAATGTTGTACTTACATGTCACATTCATGTATCCACATCATTTTGTAAAAGTCGGTCACCGGTAGTGATGTCATACGCCAACATTGTTGTACATATTTAGCAATTCTTTGAAGTGAAGGTCCGTGAATGAAAGTACACACGATCATTGTATCCTGCTGTTTACAGTTTCAATTATGATGGAGATTTTGCATATATTTTATACAGTTTTACTCACATTTAATTTCACTATGGATAGTTATCAATGCTCAGTATGATATACGTAGATATAGACCACAAAATGTATAAATCTTTGATAATCTACTGTTTGTTTGAATATTGTTTACTTAAGCAGAGCTCCAGATAAGCTTATGGTGTTGTGGGTATTTTACCCATGCACTTTAAATCATTGGGTATCAGTAATTCTATTTGGGTATTCAAATTTCTGTTACCCACTAGTTTTTACACATGTGGGTATTTAAGTTAAATATTTAAAAACACTATTCATCTAGTCCCTGCAAACTGGTTCGAGAGCTTTATAGTACTCAAAAATACCACGATACTTCCACAAGAAAGTGTGATGGCAAATGATCATGATGTAACTGTCATCGTGGAGTTTGCAAGGTTGACGGAATGCCCGTTTATAATTTCAAAATAAGTTGCTGATTTGCTAATCGAATACGCAGGGTTACTTCATAATATTTTGATGATACGCACATGTTTTATTTGTGTATCGTATCTGTAATGTTCGTTGCGTATTTGATACGCTTGGGTTTTATTTTACTGCGTATTTCTGCATTTCTGATGCGTATTTTACGCAGATACGCAGCTTATCTGGAGCTCTGCTTAAGAAAAGTTTATAGTGTCGTATTCGATATTTCTTTCGTTTAATCAAGTATTAGAAGATGAAATGTAACTGCAACGTGTACTTATTCCTTTGGAGTTTGACACTCAATATTGTAATTTTATATTAACAGGTTAATGAATAGCCGTTTCAAATTTTTTTAAAATCAAAACTGAATACATTCATTTAACAAGATGGATACTATTTTTTGTTATAATGTATGCACAGATTTGTAGAAGAATTATCTTGGTCTTGGAATTGTTTTTTTAATGTCGTTTGATAGACAGAACGATTATGTCTAACGATTCGCCAGGTGCGCGTTAGTCACAAACGATTTATGAATTATTCCTCTCGTATTGTATTAATGGGTTCACCCTTTTTCTAAATATTGTGTGTATTAAACTGTTTATTTTAATATTCTGCATCTCTGCGTAATTATATTGCCGGAGGTAGATGCCTTTACTTTTCAGATCTTAGGAAAATGTGAGTCAGAAAAAAAATACTCTGCATCATGCGCGATATACGTGTATCATTACGCAACGAGTTGACAATTCTTTTAGCTATGCCCGTTTACGCTTAGACGGAACCCAGTCGCACAAATGGCCACGAGAGGGGCACGAATCGCTATTTGGCTAAGCTGGTTCCCGGCTCCCTATGCGCGTCGTCAACTTGTCATATTGGAGACGGGGTCCTGCCTACTATTCAGCTTGTTATCGCAAGCTCCTCACAGCAGTGCGGAGCTTGGTGGCAGCGACGTTACCGAGTGTGTCACGCGCTGGGAAGGAGCTTGCTTGAAGTAAGGGTACGTAACTCTTATCACCACAGCCATCTTTCTTTTTTCTTGGGAGAGCCACTCGTCTCCATGTTCTCAATCGGATCTTGCAGAGTGTATCCGAGTGGGTAAACCGTAAGTGCTCATTTGATGCTAGTTTTGTATACTGTTTACCTGGCGCAGCCATAACACTATTTGTCGCGGTATGTGTTTCAGGCTTCACTGATTGATAAGACTTGCTGAAATAAATATATCGTAAAATTAGTTTGAAAGTCGATCTCGCAGATCTCGTCTATGCAGATAAAATATATTATGAAACTGACAAGTTGTTCAGTGGTTGTCTTTGAGGACAATACGTATGCTGTTGACTTAGCTAGATGACTGACAAGTCACTAGATTCTAGACCTATTTCATATGGGTACTGGCCAGTGACCAGTTACACTATAGCCATTTTTTCGTGTTGTTTATGTTGTATGATTTGTATAAAGTTGTCTGCACCGATAACTTTGATTTTTGTGTGAAACTATCAGCCATTATACCTATTTCTGTTGGTGGAAAAAGCTTGGGGAGTAGTGCATTTTACAGGGCGCACTTTTTCAGATCCAATTAGTGCTGTGCGGGCTCTGCTAATTAATGCGTTACCATTGCGACGCTCCACCACTGGACCACGGTGCTATCATATGTAATCAGTGCTCGTTTAACGGGTCATTAGAATCCCCATTGACATGCATGCGTAATTCAGTAAACAATCAATCTTTTCTTGAAACCACACCAGCCATTGTTTTTGTCAGCATGACCGAGCAATCGGGTTAACCAGATTAATGCTTGAAAAGGTAAGAATTATTGGCTAACCCTTGCCCAAAGCAAGCTAACTGTAATGTATTTGTAAAACTGCACACAAACTCAGCTACTTGTACGACCTGCACCTAGACTTGGAGGAACATCAAGCAACAACGTCTGAACTCAACAATGGTTTATTCGTAACTGGCTGCAGGTACATTGATGACGTCACTCCCAATGCTGGGGCATGTGACTTATGACGTATTAGCGCGTGCACATTGGCGCTCACCGTATGTAAACAACATAACACAACATTTCTCCCCCTTGAAACGAAAATCTAAACACCCCTCTGAGCAATTACAAGATTACAACTTTTAACAACTGACCCATTGAGTTACACAAAACGAATCCTTTGTTTTAAAGCACAGTAAGTAACCACACTTTTGGTTTATGATCTATGGCATTACAGATTAAGTCTGTCAGGAGCTTTTACTGTCCTAGTTGATCGCCTGACAGCTTGTTGTGTAACCATGGTAACTGCTGGGGGCGACACACACACCTGACTCCCAACATTCAAAGTTCTACCCGAATCATCACCACATGCATTAGTGTCTGTCTTGCCAGATGGTACAATTATTGCACCTGGCATTTTTGTCTCATAAGTCTGTTCTGACACCATACCACTCTTGGTCGAAAGTTTGTCACCTTCAACAATGTCTGTAGCGATTCTACCTCGAAGTTGATCAAAATGGCGTCGACAACTCCTGTCGCCAACATCAACTTCATAATGTCTCTCTCCATATGTTGTCAAAACTTGCCCGGGTATCCATTTGTCATGTGCACGATAATCACGCACCCACACCTCCTGGTTTACTTGCAGTTGTCTAGTCTCAGCTGGATCACTCATTTGACCTGCCAACTTAGATGACATAGCAGACTGAAAGTCTGGTTTCAGCAACTTTGTCTAACTTTGTCCTTAATTCTCAACCCAGAAACAACTTTGCTGGAGTTTCACGGGTAGTGCAATGAGGAGTCGACCTGTAAGCCAGCAAAAACTGATCAACCTTTGTCAATACAGATCCACCGTCTTCCTTAGCTGCCTTCATGGCCTGTTTGAATGACTGGACTGCCCTCTCAGCCTGTCCATTAGTAGCCGGATGATATGGAGCTGACAAAATATGTTTGACACCATTGCATTTCAAAAATGCTTCGAACTCTTCTGACACGAATTGCGGTCCATTATCTGTAACCACTTGATGTGGCAAACCGAACTGTGCACACAGCTTTCATACTTCCTTCACTGTAGCACTAGATGTTGTAGAATTCATTACTACAATTTCTGGCCATTTTGAGAATGCATCTACAACTAACAAAAACATGTGACCCATAAATGGCCCTGCAAAGTCAAGATGAATGCGGGTCCATGGACGTGACGGCCAAGCCCATGGGTGTACAGGGGCTAACTGTGGATTGTTGTGAGTGTTCTGGCATGTTGAACATGTCTTGGCAATTTCCTCTATTTCACCGTCTATCCCAGGCCACCAAATGTAACTTCTTGCTACAGATTTCATTTTCACTACTCCAAAATGTCCTGTGTGTAATTCTTGCAACACAGTTTGTCTCAGTTTAGAGGGAACTACTACTCTCATTCCCCACATCACACAGCCCATATGTACAGTGAGTTCAAACCTTCGACTGTGATATGCTTTCTTCATGAAATCTTCCCCATGCTCTCTTGTCCATCCAAGAGGATCACGTCTTGTTTCGTTTCTAACGTCAGCAGCAGTAACCGGTAGTTGCTCAAACTGTCAGTTGTAAAACATCTCCACGTCATCTGGTGTTTCTTTCTGCTCCCTGCTAACATTGACAAGTGGAAGTCTGGATAACACATCAGCATTTGCATGCTTCTCTGATACCTTATACTCAATCTCATAATCATATGCACTTAGGATGAGCGCCCATCTCTGCATCCGAGCAGCCGCAAGTGTAGGCACCGGTCTTCCAGCTCCAAACAAAACAGTCAGCGGGCGATGATCTGTGATTAATGTGAAATGTCTGCCATAAATGTACTGGTGAAACCGTTTTACACCAAAAATAATCCCCAAAGCTTCTTTGTCAATTTGGGAATATCCACTCTCAGCTTTCTTCCGTGGGCGGGAAGCAAATGCATTGGGCCTTTCCGAACCATCCCTTGTAACATGTGACAGTACTGCCCCAACACCATATGACGAAGCATCACATGCAAGGCGTATGGGTAGTGAAGGATCGTAATGACATACCACATCCGAGCTGGCAATCATGCACTTGCATTTCTTGAAAGCTTCTTCACACTGGGAAGACCATGCCCACTTCTTATCTTTCCTCAGTAAGTCATTTAGTGGATATAGTACCCTAGACAAATGCTCCAAAAAACGCCCATAATAGTTCACAGCACCCAAAAATGAACGTAGTTGCGATATATTCTCTGGTCTTGGAGCATCAGTTAAGGCCTGTACTTTATCCTTAGCCGTGTGAAGTCCTTCACTATCTATCACATGACCAAGATACTTGACTGAATCGACAAAAAACATGCACTTTCCCCTCTTCACTCTCAACCCATATTCCTGCAACCTTTTCAACACTGCCTCTAGATTTCTGAAATGTTCTTTATCACTTGATCCGGTTACTAAAATGTCATCTTGATGACACACGACTTTGTCCAAACCTTGCAATATCTGGTCCATTGTGGCCTGAAATATGGCTGGTGCAGAGGCGATGCCAAAAGCAAGACGGGTATACCTGTAAAGTCCCTTTGGTGTGTTAATTGTCAAATATTTCTGACAATCTGTATCAACTTCCATCTGTTGATATGCATGTGCTAAGTCTATTTTGGAAAATTTTCTTCCACCAGCCAGAGTAGCAAACAAATCTTCTATATTGTGCAATGGGTACTTGTTAACATTCAACACTGGGTTCACTGTAGACTTGAAGTCTCCACAAATTCTCACTGTTAGATCCCCTTTCATAACAGGTACAATCGGAGTTGCCCACTCACTGTGATCCACTTTAAACAATACCCCATTCTTCTCCATTCGTGTAATCTCTTCCTTCACCCTGTCCTGTAAAGCATAAGGTACAGGCCTTGCTTTCATGAACCTGGGAGAAACTCCCTCTTTAACAGACAAGTGAGCTTTAATACCTTTTATTGTACCAATTTCTTCTGAGAAAACATCACAGTACTTCACAAGTATCTCTTCCAACTTTTCCTGACTTGAATATTCGCTCTACATGTGAATGTCATCACCTAGCTTTTTCCAATCAATGTCCACATATGGTAGCCATGCTCTACCTAGCAGAGGAGGCCCTTCCCCTTTTACAACATGCAAATCCAACTTGTTCACATCATTTCCATTTGCAACATCAACTTTTAGTATAACAAAGTTTGTAACATGCTCACCTGTGTAAGTTCTCAAAGGTACTGTGGCCTCGACCAAGTGACATCCGTTAAAACGATCCTTGTACACTTCTTCAGTAATGATGGAATTTCGCGAACCAGTATCCAGTTCCATTTTTAGGTCAGTACCGTTTATGTTGACTGTGACCCACATAACCCCAGAACTTCCGGGCATGGCAAACATCTGATTCAAACACTCTGATAGATCATCAACAATGAAATCATTATCATCATTGTCAGTTATGTCAATGGCATTTACGCGAGAATTTGGTTTCTTACCGCCATTATTTACATTTCCATTTCCATATGACCTTGAACTTGATCCTGGGTCACGACCCGAACTCTTCATCCGACAAACTGCCTGCAGATGGCCTCGTTTGCCACAGAACGAACACACTGTATCCTTAAATCTGCAATTGTTGGCAAGGTGAAATGAGTTACCGCAACGATAACAGAACTTAGTATTTCCAGTCCTAGGTTTGCTGTTGAACGTAAACACTTCGGTGGATCCGTGTCTCTTGTCGCCGCCTCGGCCAAGCTCATCACAGTCCTTGCCCGCTAATTCCATCGAATTTGCAATTGCCAATGCCTGGTCAACAGTCCACTTCTTATCTTTCCTTAGTAAGTCATTTAGTGGATATAGTACCCTAGACAAATGCTCCAAAAAACGCCCATAATAGTTCACAGCACCCAAAAATGAACGTAGTTGCGATATATTCTCTGGTCTTGGAGCATCAGTTAAGGCCTGTACTTTATCCTTAGCCGTGTGAAGTCCTTCACTATCTATCACATGACCAAGATACTTGACTGAATCGACAAAAAACATGCACTTTCCCCTCTTCACTCTCAACCCATATTCCTGCAACCTTTTCAACACTGCCTCTAGATTTCTGAAATGTTCTTTATCACTTGATCCGGTTAC